ACACACACACACACACACACACACACACACACAGTATTTGGCAGTCAAATGTTCAGCTGATAGTTGTAGAGGATCAAGCCTGAGACCACAGGTTTACTATAGCAGGTTTTAATTCCTAGATGTACTTGACACTGGATCAGTCTCTCTGCCTCCTTGAACCTGTTTCCGCATTTGTCATGAAAGTTGAGACTAGATCTTATGAGATGCTCAAGATTATTAGCTAGCTCAATTTGAATCTGAACTGGTTTTGTTGTTCCTATGTTCTTACCACTGTCTTTGTGCTACTGAAATAACTTAAGAAGTATGAGACCTTAAAGTCTAGTTAGGGAGAGAAAGCTAAGACATATGGAATAATCTGATACAGTGTATAATTTATTTCTATAATTAAATATAATATATGCATTCTATATATATTCTCTATGTTACAGAAGTTCAGGAAAATGGAAGATCTGTGTGGCCTGAAATATTCAGGAAATGTCTCACATGGAAGATGGGACCCAGGTTGACACTTAAAGAAAGGGCAGAATTTGGGTAAGCCAAGTACAGAAAAGCATTTTGGTGGGACAGGATTTTAGGTGGTTCTGGAGGATAATGGATGTGTACAGAAAGGGACTGGTAAATTGGATTTGATTCATAATAGGGAGAAATGAGAATGAACACTATATAGATAAAATAGGGATAAATGTCTGAATGTCTGTCACTCTAATCTTAGAGATCTAAACTTTGCCAAATGGAAAACAAGACGTGTGACGCACAAAGATTCAAGCAGCAACAGATTACAAAAAAAAGTGTGAGATTTGCAGACAACGTAGTTTCTAAACTCACCACTCAAGAAGCTACCTGGCTCGGAGTCATTCATTTAACCTCTGCTTTAATTTTCCTATCTGTAAAATGAACATAATCATCCTTACTGCATAGTGTTTACAGAAGAATCAAATGCATTATCATATATGCTTGAAAGTGTTTCATAAACAGAGAGGTGTTGCCTTGATATTAGAGTTCTTTGTCATTAATCTATGATTCTTTTGCTTCTCAAATAAGGTTACCATAAGGTCTGATCTAACAACTGACATTGTCTCACTAATATCCATTGTGTTTATATTCAGAAGATCACTTAATTATTTTTGTGCAATACTTAATTTTCAAAGTGCTGTTCAAGTTATCATTGTATTTGACCCTCAACCACCAACACTATGGGACATTTAGGACAGAATGATTATCCTAATTTTTAGAAGAACAAACAGGTTCAGAGAGGTAACCCAAGTGAAACTGCACATGAACAAAGGTTTTCTGGCTCTCTCATGTAGTTATCTGCCTAAAATATTGTGTGTCCTCCTTCTTCCTTTTTAAGTTTAATTTCCCCTAATATCCATTCTTGTCTTTTCACAAAGTCAGACTACTTAGCTATGCTTCTCTACACATCACGCAGCTGACTGTGGTTATGGACTCAGTAATGTCCAATGAGATGTTGGCAGAAAGGTCTCTGTACACTTGAAGACTCTTTCCTTAAAGACAGCTTCTAGGTTTCCTTTACCTAGAAGGTAAACCCTCCGTCTTATGGCTGTTTGGACTGGGATGGGGGGCGGGGTGGCGGCTGGATCATCTGAGATTATGAAAACAAGAGCTACCCCTGAGGGAGTGGTGGCAGGTGAAGCTGGAAGGAGTTGGGTCTCAGAGGACATTGTGGGGCAATGGCACCAGGCCAGCATTCAATTACCTAGGTCTGGCTTTTATGTGAGAAAAATAAGGCCTTGTTATTTTAGTCTGTGTAATGCAGAACCAACCCTAATCCTTACTGACAGAGATTGCTAAAGAAAGCAGAGTTAATATGTAAGATACCAACTAAATGTAAGGTGCTTCTACATGGTAAATAAATGCTACTGGAAAGTATCAAGTTCAATGAAAATTCTTAGGAGAAAGAACAATGAAATTCAAAATCGTGCAAAACATCTTTCCAACCTAAAGACTTCCCAGGACAAATGCTAAGAACACTGGTCCATTTATCTGAAACCGTCATAACAAAGCAACTCTAAAGCTGTTCATACCTGAGAAGAGCGTGAAAATTACTAAAGCCAGGCAGGGACAAAAGCAAGAAGCTGTGAAAGTCATACATGAACCGGAAAGTGATAATGGCTTTTAGATGATATGCTTTGGGAGACTTAGCAAGTCCATAAAAAAAAAATTAAAAAAAAAAAGTAAACATTTTAGAATGGAACTTTTTAATGGTAAAAGTTAAAAACTACTCTCTCTGGGAGGGTCCGCATCTGCCTCCTAAAATCTTGAAAAGTGGCACATGATGTACCCTTATCTATTGTTTATCTTCATTGTAGCACACAGGCTCTAGCTCACAGGAGTCCTTTGTTACTCACAAGAATTCCTCCCACGTCTCCAGTCTTCCTCTGCATCCTCGAAGCTGCAGGCCTTACTCAAAGTGGGCCACACCATTGTTCAAGCCCCTTGCCTCTCATCATGCCATTCCCCTGCTTACAACCTCCAGGCACTACACAAAGTCTCTACCCTGACCCTCAGCACCCTTTGCAATCTGGCTTCAAATAGCATCTGGAAGTTGATCACCTGCTACATATTCCAGTCACCATAACCAGCTTTATGGAATTTCCCCATTTCCTAAGTTCATCCTTGATCTTTAGTGAGGCTAAAGTTTCTTTTCTTTTGTTCTTTCTTTTTGAAAAACCTGTCTTCACTATTCAACTGCACCATGAGTTTTACCCAAACTCTTCTGAGATGGCTGTTTCCTTTTCCATGATTGTGTAATTCATTGGTATATATCTATAATAGCATTTGGACCATGGTATTATAGTCATTTATTTTCACATTTGTCTCCATCCCTAAAACGAAAGACTTCTGAGGGTAGGGCCTCTGTGATTTCTACCCCAGTCACATGTACCTATCTTACATTCAATAAATGTTATTGATCATAAGAGTCATGAAAAGACACATTTCCGGAATTTGTGGTTTTCTTACTGGGAAAAAAATGCTTTTTTTTTTAAGATAAAAAAGAAACTAAAAACGTAAAACATCTCAGCCTGATAGTAAAAATTACATATACACACAGCATACATTTCTGCTACATGATACTATTCCTTCTAATATATTTATTTATGGCTTCTAATAATTTGATCTCCCTCTTCCTAGTTTTTAACCCCATATTTTTGCTTACTTTATTCTCTCTGCTTGGAATGCTCTTCTCCCCATATCTTCACACTGAAATCTCTGCCATGCTTGAAATGACACACCAAATACCAAGCTCTTTCTCTCACTCCCAAACTGCCCCTGTCCTGAATCTAGACTATTTTCACCACAATTTATAATTTTCTTCCTTAAAAAAAAAAGTTTCTGTCCTAACCACAGCTAGATTGTAA